AAAAGTTAAACATGTTTTTTACCAACCTGGTTGCAGAGCGTGGAGAGAGAGAGCGCGCGCGCGCGCGCGAGAGAGAGAGAGAGAGAGAGAGCGTGCACTCGCGAGATAGCCGAGTGCATTCAACCCCCCGCGGTCCCGAATAATCTCGAGGAACAGCTCGAGGAACGTTTGACACTTTAACTAACGCACGTTTGGCCGCGCGAGGAAGCGCGATCCGCGCGACTTGCAATTTCGGAGGTTCGCCAGCTCCTCGGATGGTATATTTCGATTACTCGTAATTATTTGTTCATTCCTGGGAATTCGCTTTGCAGGCTCCATCGCGACACGGAAAGCCACTCGGTTTCAGTCGAACGTAAATACGGGAGCGAAGGAGGGACGCGATTTCCGCGCAAAAACGTCAAGTCCCCTCTTCATACGCGACTCGGTTGCGCGGTATCATAAAATGCTAAACGGAGGGATTCGCGGGGGAAAAGGAGAGAACACGCGCCACCGGAAACCGCAATACGGGCACGGTTAATTTTTACGCATCTCCAGCGCTGCCTGCCTGCGCGCTGTCGAGCGGCGACTCAACAGCGGGCGGAAATTTTCATACGCCGCGGTAATCCCGTTATAATTAAAACAAAGGTAATTAGCACTTGTCTGCAGGGCGCAGCACGGGAAAATTCGAGTTAAGAGAACACAGAGGGAGAGGAAGAGAGCCTCGCGCGGAAAGTACGTTCTCGCATATTTGCGACGTAAAATACTCGCGCCGGGAAATATCCACGCTGAACGAACAGAGCATGTAAAACCCTCTAGGAACCTCCCTCCCTCGCCCATCGTTCCTAAAGCGGGCTCAAGCGGAGGAAAATCATCCCGCAGCAGTCGATGCAACGATTCGTTACCGGTTTTCGCGACGTCGACACGCGAGCCCACTCCGGACGAGTCGAAGGCGAAATCGAGCGGAGCACGCAGGAGCCGCGCGCGCGCGCGCGCGACGCGTCCTTTCGACGGGCGCGGAATCTCGGCGGTGCCGGGCTCGAAAGGACCGCTAATTATGCAGCGCCGCATCGGCGCGCGCTTTGTAAAGAGGACGCTCGCGCGGATAACAAGGAGGGGGGGGGAGACCCTCCGCTCTCCGCCCGGAGCATCGGGAGTAACGAGAGAGCGACGATTGATGTCCCGTTCCGCGCGCTCGCGCTCGCACGCGCACACGAGGAAATTATTCCGCGCGGGGAGCGGGAGAGAGGGGGGGGAAGGGTGCTCGCGTTAAAATAAATCCGCCCGGCGTAGCCGCGGCACGGCGCGCCGGCGAAAAGAGAGATATCCTCTCGTTAAGATGACGAGTTATCGAAGGATCGTGTTTCGCGCGGGAACGGGCGCTCTCGCTCTCGTTCTCTCTCTCTCTCTCTCGTTCGTCCGGTCTTACTCGCGCCGGCGATTAATCCGGACTTGCAAAATGCATCGCGGCTCGAATTGCGCGCTATCGTTACGGACTGATCGCCGCGGCTTGATTTCTAGGCGATGGCTGTCTCTACGGCTCAATAAGGAGCCGCGGTGAAATCACTTGCTCGCGCTCTCGAGTGCGATTTTTCCTGATTTCCCGGGGTAAAGAGACCGGGGGGATTCGCCGAGAAAAGACCGTTCCCGTTGTTTTTAGGACAGAAGACTATTCTAGCCTACAAAACGCACGCATGGTCTGAAAGCTGAGATTTCAACGTGTAATTTACAAATAAAAAAAATGTTCATTTGGTTCTATTTGGTTAATTTTTGTGTGCCTCTTTGGATCCGAGAGAATGAACAACGAGAAGGTGTATTTTCGCGCAATTACGCTTCTTTATTTTCGCGAAAGTAAAAACGCGATACAAACGGCGGAGGAAATTTCCACGCGCGATGCGCGTGGCGATAGTGCTGTGAATGAAAGAATAACGCAGAAGTGGTTGAAAAAGTTTCGTGATGAAGATTTTAGTCTCGTCGATGACGAACGTTAGACCGTTTTTTTTTTTATCGACGGTTGATAACGATCGAGTTTCCAGATATGATATCGAAATGCAGCGTTGGACAACCATTTGCATCTCTTGCTATGATTGTGACATTTCAGTCAAAGAAAAGTATTCTGTTTGTAGAGTGATTTTTCTCATGAATTTCGACTTTTCGACTTTTGGAAATTTCAAAATTATTAAATTAACACAAGATAGGGCACTATTATAGTAATATATTCTTGATAATAAATAAAGTAAAAAAGTCTAATACTATTTTTTCTTCCGACGAATAGTTTGCGAGATATCGTAAGTTAAATGTTGAAAAAGTTACTAAATTTTCCTTAAATATTTCAAAAAATATTAGGCAAATAAAAAGATGTTTCAGACAAAAGTTGTTAAAATTAATTGGTAGAAAAAAAGATATAATAAAAAAGATATAATAAAAAAATTGGGCTTTCTATTTTAAAAAATTATGTTGACCTTCAACTGACCTTGAAAATGCCCTCCAAATAAAAAACTAATAATGCCACTGTCTTTCTCCTTCGAAATCATGGAACACATGTTTTAGCTTTTTTTAATATCTTTCATAGTTTTCGAGATTTTTTACCTGTTACGTTTGAAATAGCACCCTGTATATATATTACTTTTCGCTATATATTATAATAATTTTTCAAATTAACCAATATAACCAGTAAAAATAAAGTACAATAAGAAGTATATATGATAGTACAATAAGAATAAATAAAATTCCTCTTAAAAAAAGATTAAATAATCTGTGTGTAAGAGGAAATTTATATTAAAATCAATAAGATTTGCATTATAACATATAATCTCTCTAATTATAAGAATAATGTGTTTACAATATTTTCCTCTTAATCTTAGAGCTTAGAGGAATCCTCTTGAGTCATACGTAAGAACAAATCTAAAATTTAAATGATTCCGCTTGTTCTGAAATTATTTTTTTGGGTTATTTGTTCCGACGTTACGTTTTAGCCAACCCAACAATTTTCCTCTGCGCATCTCTCGGTCACGCTTTTCTTCTTTCATGACCCCCCGCGGATTGTCGTAAGGGCTCTTTTGGTTGCGCTTGAAAATTCATGCGTTTCATGCCGGATTAGGGATTAGCGTGACATGTCGCGCTTTTAATCGACTCGCTCTCTTGCTCGATGACCCTGATGAATTCATCAGCACCGGCCGAGTGTTTGAACGATCGAGCAATCTCCCGTTCTGCATACCTGCAGAACAGGAGGCGCTTAATTATATCGTAACTCACTCGCGTGCAGCAAGTTACTCCCGCCGTACCTTCCGCAAGCGCGCTTCGTACTTTGCACGCAGAAAGCGCGTTTTTTTCGAGCGGTACCTTGAGCGTGCAGCGTCTTATTCAAATGCGGCGTTTCGATGCCACACAAGATGACTGGAAAAGAAGGGGGGAGGGGCACGTATGTGTGCGTGTATTCGGGACTTGAATGTGCCCTCTACGAGAAACATCTTAAATGAATCGTTTACACAGTAAACAGCGTGTTACCTCCAAAATGTTCCACGTCCGCGAATTTGTTGCGCTTCGGCTTCCGGAATTCCTCGCGTATCGATCATGTGTGAAAAATACTTTGTCCTTGGGAGAATAAAAAATGTTTGAATTTCCTCCCGGTAACCCCTCCGAATTTGTCGGGGTGAAATTTTGCGGACAGGATTTTCCCCTCCGATTTTCGTCCAACGACTATCTTCACGCGATTAGCCATTAGACGCGTTATTCCACCGTCACATGAGAAAAACATAAACATTCACTCGCACGAGGCCTGGAATTCACTCTCTAAGCTATATTTCCGAGCGGCGGTGTTTCCGCGGCCGCTTCGAGCGAATTTTCGGCGAGGCTTCGTCCCGGCGAACTCAACCCTTAACCCTTTGTGGCGTAGGTGGACATCCAGAGGCCCATTTATTTTCCGTCAATTTTTTATATTTTATGAGCAGTTTTAATGATCGATTTCTTAGCAATTATATTTTCTAACTTCTTAAGACTCTAACTAATGTAAAATAATTGTGATTACTTATAAATTCTTTAAATTTATTTTTTTTTTTTTTTTTTTTTTTTTAATTTCTTTAAATTTATTATTGCTAATAGTAAATAAGTAAACACAATAAAATGTTTTTAAGAATAAATGTATGGCAAGGCGAGGAATGAACTATTTTTATCTGGGAATTGATACGCAGGGATTTTTTTGGGACGTTGATTACGACTCCGTTATCAGATTTCAGAAATTCAAAATGGCGGATCCAATATGGCGAATATAAAATTAAAAATTCAACCAATTTCCGTGAAACTAGGTATCTAGGGTTTTCTTAGGTCGCTGATTACGAATCCATCATCAGATTTTCAAAATTCAAGATGACCAATCCAATATAGACGGAAAACTTGAAAAAGATTGCAATTTCTAGGAAAATTGGTATTGAAGGGTTTTTGGGTCGCTAATTGTGAATCCATTATCAGATTTTCAAAATTCACGATGGCTGATTCAACATAGCGAAGCGAGAATTTAAAAAAACCCAAATTTTTCTGCCACTTTTAATTTCGAAAATCTGACAACGGATTTGTAATCAGCGACATTAAAAACCCCTAGATACCTAGTTTCATGGAAATTGGTAGAATTTTGAATTTTACGACCGCCATATTGGATTCGCCATTTTGAATTTCGAAAATCTGACAACGGATTCGTAGTCAACGACCCCAGAAAACCCCTGGATACAAAGTTTTATAGAAATCGATTAAGAGGAAAAATTCGTGGCTCAAAGGGTTGGAGGCCGCCATGGATGAACCTCACGCGAATTTTTAATCTCATTAAAAACGCAACCATGCTGTCAATACAAAGTTTTATAGGTAGCGATAACATTATGATCAAACGGGTCAATCCTCGCGCGTATACCTTGCTACAAACAATAACGAAAAAGCAAAAACGAAGAAACTTTGCTTGCGGTGACATTTGACGGTAGCTTTTAAGGGTTAAAGAGCAGGTCAGCCCGCGATGCGAACAATGCAGCGTCACTAACCTCAGATTCATCCTGGTCACAGCGGAGCCGCGCTGGCAATGTCGGCGTGAAAATCCCGCGGAGATGCGCGGCGGTGAGTCATCCTCCGATTTCCGTGAGCGGTCCATGGGAGATCTGCTCAGGCCATCCTGCGCGAAGAAACGGGAGGGCAAAGCTCATTATCAGGACGAGTGATATAGAGAGCGTAAGAAAAGGCGCCACGCAACAAATCACAGCGTCCCGTAACGGCGCGCCGGCACGCCAGGGCTGGGGGGAGGGGAGTGGAGCCGTTTGGACCGGCTGATCGCCTTAACTTTCGGAGGTTTAAGCTCCCCCGTTCTCCTTTCCTCGACCCAGCGTCGCTCGGCCGAACTTGAACGCGTCATCCGTCGGCGGGCAGGCGCGCTTTATTAGATTCGCCTCGAGTTCCTCTTTTGGCTCTGCGCGACACGCCTGGAAACCACCGGCGGTTTCAAACGTCCGCGATCCCGGCGAATCCGCGCGCGCAAGCGCGGCTGGACGTCTAAGCTTCAGCGTGAAACAAGGTAAACGTCCCAATGGCCAGACACGTCCCAGTAACCGACCACTTTGAAAAAAATATTTACTATTTATTTTAACAATAATGAGTGAAAGTAATAATTATTGCAGGTAAAAAAAAAACTCCAATATTTGACGATTAGTTGGAAAAAAAATATATCCAATTTGATACCTTCGTGTTGAAACAAAAATTAATTAAGTAAGTATGCACCTGTGGTTTGGCAAAATAACGGTCGACCGTTAATAAATTCATTAAGAGATAGCGTCTATATTTATATTACTTCCCGTTAGCACTTACCAATCTTACTTTCTAATTACGGTCGGACACTGGGACAAATTATCTCCGAAGATTGGGCCATAACCTATTTCAACTGTCCGGTCACTGGTCACATTAATGCGCTTCATTACTTGTGTGAATATTTCATTAATAATAGATGTATACATTGGTATAAATCTTTAAATAATTTTTTTCTACTTGAAGGAATCTTAAGTTTTCGAAATGTCGAATAAATGCAAATATTTATATCAAAATTGTTCTTGATATCGTATATTGTATCTTTTGTCGCGACCTACGCTTAAACGTCCGATTACTGGGACATTTGCCTGAATCCACCGGTGAGGTTAACAGGGGTTGTTCGAATTTGCCGTAATCGGCGACAATCCGAGCAAAACTTGCTAATTCGCTCTTGCGTTGTCCCTGACAATCTCCGCGATCTTCCGGAAAACGTCCGGACGCTTCGGCTTCTGGAGAAGACTCCGCGCGGTCGCGCGGAAGACTCGGTTCCGCCTCGGTTCGCGGAAAAATCGGGAATCTATGAATGAAAGATGGAAGTCGTAAAGGCAAGATCGCAATTTACGGCGCCGATATGTTGAGTCGCTACTCGCCGCGGGTATAAAGAAGCCTATGTCCCCGCGGTTTTCCGGTCGCGAAAGAGAGCGCGCGCGCGCGCGCGTTCCGTTGTGTGAACAGCTGCGAGAAATGCGAGCGCGCGTGTGCGCCGCGAAGGAAAGCACGGCCCTACGATAAATTACCGGGGAAATCTACGGTAAATTCGTCCGAGAGCTCCTCTGCATCGCGTGCGACCTCGGCACCGCCGACCCGCGCTCGCTCGAAGAGTGCTTCTCCGCGACTCTCTTTGTCCGTCAAAGAGCCCTCGAACGCGTGAACAGGTTCCTCAGATCGCGTAAGATCAGTCAAGCGAGCGTTATATCGCTCGAGCGGCGTAGTCAACATCCCGTCGGACATTCGCAAGCGAATACGGCAAAAGATTCAAACATCCTCTTCGCCTGGCCGAGCGAGAAATCGCGAACTTCGTGTCTCAGCTCTTGACTCTCCCGGGTCTTCTCGTCGCGTCTTAATATCGCGGTGAACTCCAGTCCGCTCCTCTCGCGAGGCGACACCCCCCGCTCTTCATCATTTCTGCAGCTTGTGGCAGACGTGAAAAAGGACACTCGCGCGGCATAATCTCCCGCGCTTTTCCTCGTCATTCTCGAATCGCGGACGGCGCCTGTTCGCGCTGTTCGCGCACTATCACTACCGGAAGCGTTACTCAACACCCAGCGGACTCTCCGTCCGTGTCTCGCGAAACGTGCCGCGAAAAACGAAGCTCCAGCCGGAAACTGAAAACGCATGACGACGCAGGAAGTGTCTCTCGCGTATCTTGGACTCGCTGCGTGACATTCGCTCGATTTCCGAGAGAGAGAGAGAGAGAGAGAGAGAGAGAGGAAGAGAGAAAGAGAGAGCATGCTAATTTACTCACTGTCACGGCTGCTCGCCTAATCCTTGTCGGTGATAGCAGCAGGTGGATCCTCCGGCTCGTCCCACGTGGCACACATGTCCCACGCAAAACCCCCGCACCCCCGCGCCCGACGTGGCTGGCGGTGCGAAAGTCAAAGAAACGCGGAAACGCACGGTAGGAGGCACGCGACGACGAAGAGAGAGAGAGAGAGAGAGAGAAAGAGAGAAAGAGAGAGAGAGAGAGAGAGAGAGAGAGAGAGAGAGAGAAGGGGAGAGATCGCACTACACTGTGTGTGTGTGTTTGTGTTCGAAGGGGGTGTCGACGAGGGCTGAGAGGGTTGGAGAACCCGCGCGCGACTTTCCGTCAGCCGGCAGGAAGGAACGGCCGAGCGAGCGTGTGCAGCACGCGCGCGAACGCCACCGCGACGGGAACGATAGTGGCGAAAGTGGGAGACCCTCCGGGAAATATATAGGTCCGCGGGGTGGTGGTGGATCACAGGAGAGAAGGAGGGAGCAGAGGCGCCGCGCCGCGCACGCATCCCTCCGCGCGGCGCAAGAGCGCGAGCGATACGATTAATACTTATTCCTTATTCTCGAAAATTTGTGGAAAATATCGTACACGATATTTCATCAATGGGTCAATGTAATTGGCGGAGAATCGTGAAATCTGGTGACGTCCGTGAAATATATTACGCGATATTTTTCAAGAATACCGATACCCATAAGCACAAAAGTTGCAGCAACATTGCTGCAACATTGCTGCAATATTGTAATGTTGCAGCAACGTTGCAGCAATATTGCTGCAACTTTTGTTCCATATGAGTGATATGATATACACAGAAGTGCAATGTTGCTGCAACATTGCTGCAACATCATTGCAACGTTGCAGCAATGTTGCTCCAGCTTTCTGTGCTATATGAGTACAGGCTTTGCACGTCGAGTCTGGCAATAAAAGTCGTAGAATGCTGGACCCGTATTCTTGCAAAATATATTCTATATTTCATGAATGTCACCAGATATTACGATCCTCAGCCAATTAAATTGCCCCATTGATGAAATATCATATATCATATTTTTCATAAATTTTCGAGAATAAGGGCCCCGTTCTGAGACACGTATATCCGTCCGTAATAATTTTATTTCAGTCCTGGCTTATATATATATATAGTTGGTTCTTCGATAGTCCAGCCTATCCATGGACTAAGGCTGTGTTAGTTAAAGACATTTTTCCGAAATGTTTTGATTTGGACTGAAGAAATTGAATCCTTCGGGGAAGTATTCGTAGTAGGTTCTTGTATTTAATTGTCTGACCTTTAGATATTTCGTAGCGAATGAAATGTAATCAAAGTGCGACTTTTTGAGGTTGGTATTTACATATTGAGACTCTTTCTTTTTTCTAATTGGTGACAGTAAAATTATTCTCGATGGATACATCGAATAAGATAAAGCGAAGTAGGAAGACTGATTGGACTGCAGAGAGGAGAAAAGCTTCCCGATATGAAAAAGAAAGAACATTATTGAGAAGAGACACGAGTATAGAGACACGAGCACGAATGAGAATGTCGGACAACGAACAGGAATGTCGGAATGAAATTCTCGACAATATCAATGGATATGTCAGGGCTTATACATACGCCTGTAGCAGTTGAAGGGTTGGAAAGGAACCAACCTTAGACTATCGCTACAGGTAGTTTAAATTTAATTTCCCATACAGCACAAAAGTTGCAGCAATATTGCTGCAACGTTGCTGCAACATTGCAACATTGTTCCAACGTTGCAGCAACGTTGTGCAACGTTTTTCAACTTTGTGTGCTGTATAAGTTGATGCAAGACTAAATCGTAAAAAAGTGTCTCTGAATACAAACGTCGTTAGTTCTTCTCATATTATTGTTAAACTACGACTAGACCAAAGTGCTTTTGTCTCCGAAGAGCACTCGTAAAGTCCGAAATCGTACGAAAATTGACTGATCGCAGTTGGTCAACCGTGACCGGTCGATTTTTCTCGCGACCTCGCGATTTTACGATTTCTATTGTAAACGCCGCTCAAGTTCTATTCGCGCGAGACTGGATTCGGGTTAAGGTCCGGTCAACATCGGTAGCAGCACACTCGGGCGAGAGGAGGAGGAGGAGGAAGAGCAGGAGGAGGTTCGCGTTAATTCGAGGCAACGCGTTGGCCAGCGTGAAGTAAACGCGGACGTCGGCTTGCTTTCCACATGTTCGCGTTTCGGCGACGAGTTTCGCGACGAGCGCGCGGGATCGGCTTCCCGTCGGAGCGGATATTGAGCGCTCTTTCTTGCCGTGACTTCTCGCTTCGACACGGCAGAGGGTAAAAAGCGCGATCGCGCAAAGGTACGTTCAAAGCTGCGTTCTTCCGCAAAGCGACGCTCGTGTTTTGCGCTCCGCGCGAGTTCCTCGATCAGACACGATACGATCGTATGCGGAAACCGGCCTCGTTCCTGCCTCTTCCTGAGGCGGAGGCCGCTCGAGGCGAGACCTTTCGCCGGGTGACACCCGGTGTGTGCGAGACGATTCCTACGCGACGAGCGAAGGCGCGCGCATCGCCACGGCGTTATCAGCCATTATCGTTCCCATTTCGCCGTTGAATCTCATCTAGATAATCGGCAGCATTGTTTAAAACGGCGGCTATCTGCGCGCTAAATGGACCGACGGAAATCCCGAAGAACGGCGTGCCCCTCTTCCTTCCTCGCGCCCTTTGCCCTCTCGGTTCGACGAACTGTAATTGTGGTACGGCAGCGCCGCGCCGCGCCGCGCCGCGCCGCGTCGCCGTAAAATTCAACCTGCGAGAGATTAGATTCGCGCGGCTTTCTCCTTTTATCACCCCGATGACGACGACGACGACGACGACGACGACGGCCACGCGCGGGAGGAAACCGCTCGCGCAACCGCTCCCTTTTATCCCCTCGCGCGCCTTTTTCCCGCGCGCTCGCCCTTTCTCGCTTTCTCTCGCGCGCCGCGCGACGTCTTTTTTCCGTCCCGGGCGCGACGGATCGCGCGTAAAATAGCGCGACGAATCGCGACGGTGCCGGGGAGACTGGAGAAGTGTCTTACGGCATGCGAGAGCCGCGCGATACAATGTGAGGCAGAACCAATTACGTCGGCCGATTAAGTCCGGTAATTAATCCACCGGTGATCGATGTTCGCTATAATGAACGTGGCTCTTTTTTCTCACTCGTAATATCCGAGCGCGATCTTTTCGAGGCTTCTTGTAAGCGCGTAATAGATAAAAATCTACCGTGACCGAGAGAGAATGTTGGGGGGGCGGGGGAGGGGGTGGGGGCGCGAGGCGGGGGGAGGGTTTCACGGTGAGCAAAAGAAGAAGGAAACGCGGCTGAAAGTGTGGCCGGTGATTATGATTTTTGCAATCATCGCGAATAACGAGCGAATTCAGCTGTGATTACGCGCGCCCGGTCTAAGAGAGCGACCGCTGAATAAATACGCGCCGCGTGCGCGCGCGATCGTTCGAGCCAACGCTCCGAGCATTTGTTTATTTTCTGTCCGGCGTAATGATCCGTCCGCTCATGTGTGCGCGCGCGCGCGCGCGACTTCGAGCACTGCATCTTTTTTTTCTTTCTTTTTTAATTATTGCGTGTAACGAAGCGCAGCGCGTTGCTCCCGCGGATCGCGGAACAGCGCCACTTGTGCGATTAACACGAAAAAAAAAAGGTATTTTATTTGCAGAGTGTAGAGATGTGCGAGTCAAGAATTTTTATGTCGAATCGAATCGAATCGAATGTTATTTTTTAAATTCGAATCAAATCTATGAAATCTCATTCGAATTCGAATCGAATCGAATGAAATCGAGTCGAATCGTTAAAAAATTTAACATGATTATTAAACATGCAAATAATGATGGAAGATAATTTAATATGATAACTTGAATTTGAAATTTCTAAAAATAACACAATACGTGTTGCGCTTGTACTTGGCGCCTTTTTTACCTTTTTGTTTAAAAACCTTTACCTTTTTGTTTTATAAATTTTACATGTATGTACACATATATACTTAATATAATATACATATTATATTATATCACGTGTTACATTGTAAATATATACGTCACGTACATACGTCATTAATTTATACTTGCAAATTATCTTCACCTAATTCGCGTATTACCTGCACCACTTGCGTTACAAATTGTATCAAGCGGACTTTAAAATTGAAGAGCGATCTCCCTGGACGACGCGTCAATAAGCATCGGTATGGATTTTCCGATGGCGCAGCTCATCGCATCGTCTGCTCAGCATCAGCTGACCGGCAATCAAATGACGTGCGTCATAACATACCGTGACGCATACCAATAAAGAGGAATATGTTGACTCGAATGTCGGTTTCTTTTGTTCAGTTATATTGTACCTCCGGACATGAACAAAAAAATAATCATACACTCATAGGTCAGAATATTTGGAACGCTTTAAAAAAGGTATGCTCGTTGCTATAACATGACGAAGATAATTTACTCATATTTGGTCAAATACAGTCTATAATCTATTGCAAGAAGTTGAATAATACATTCTTTCTTTTATGTTCCATACAATTGGTTATAATGAACATCTTTGTAGCTATGAGGTCCATAACAAAACTGATTGGAAATTTGTTCATCATGATGATTTTATTTTATTCGTGCCTACTTATTGTAGAACTGGAGTCAGAAATGCATCTATATATATATATATATTATTTTTCGCTATACATTATAATAATTTTTTCAAATTAACCAGTATAATCAATAAGAATAAAGTACGTAATAAGTACGGGTAATACAGTAAGAATAAATAATAATCCTCTTAAAAAAAAGATTAAATAATCTGTGTGTGTGTGTGTAGGAGAAAATTTATATTAAAATCAATAAGATTTGCATTATGCATAACATATAATCCCTCTAACTAACTTTAAGAATAATGTGTTTGAAATGTGTTTTCCTCTTAATGTTAGAGGAATTCTCTTAAGATTATATATAAGAATAAAATCTTCTAAAATTTCGATTCCGCTTGTTCTGAAATTATTTTTTTTGGATGTTCAAATTCGCGATAGAGAGTCGTTGAGGCGGCTGAAGCGACTTCCCGGTGAAATGTCAATTCGGAGAAGTCCCGGATTGAGAGACTGAAGTTGAAGTGGGAAATCTGTCGGTAATTCAGAGCGATTTCTTCAGCCGGAATTTCTGTATCGTTTATATTTCAGCAGAAAACCGGTTCATTCGACCAGATATTTTTCCTCGTCAAGCCATCGCACGCGCGCACACACACACACACACACACATACACGCACGTCATGTTGAAATTATTAAATGCTTCATCGTGGAAATATCCTCGCGTCTTGTGGAATTTGCGTCAATCGCGCGTCCTGTCGAAAGTCGGAATTGCACAAAGGCGTGCGCGAGGCGTGGGCGGCGCGCAATCGTGAATCGTGGTTTTCCATTTTCCGTTTTTACGA